CCCCAAAACCCCAAAACCCCAAAACCCCAAAACCCCAAAACCCCAAAACCCCTAAATCAATCTTGTAATTGAAATTATAATAATTTATACTTTAAGAATATCCATTTGGAAATGTCTGACCAAGAAGAAGGCGAGATTAAATGCGAAATACCTCAAAAAGTATTCAATTTATCAGTTTTAGACTTAGAATAACCTCTGATAATGTTTTATTGGCTTTTAGCATCTTTCCTGAGATTTAGTGAGCTTTCCAATTAGATCATTCTTGAGTTAAATATCTTAAATTATTAGACTTGGGGGATTAATCCTCTGGGATGCCAAGCAGGAATTCCCCTAGCGACCTCCTGGCAGGAAAGATAGATGTTAGATACTTCTGCTGAGCTTGATTTTGAAGCCCCAAGTTTCTATCGATAAATTAATGCGGAAGTTACTATATAGCGCATCATAGCTCTCTCATCACCATTATGTCTCAGTTCAGTTTGTAAATTTATTCGGAACCTAAGGTCATTATGAAATTATCTTCATATCATGATGCTCCGTCTCAGTAGTTTGTTAAGCAACGGCAATACTATAATGGGTAATTTATTTGTGGCTTAGCTTGATCCATAAATTTTAAACATGCATTTCCCAAAAATTCCTCTACCTAGCAGGTTTACTAATCTTACTCTATAGCAAATGGAGAAGCTGTAAGTATGAGAAACACTCTCAAATCGAGCAAGGACCAATCATTTCTAAAGTTTTCTTTCATCTTCTACATATTTATATCGAGCATGACAACATTCTTTCGTATTAGCTCGCAAAAGATTTTCATTCATCTTTTATGGAGTAGTAAAGCCCTCTTAGCTGTTTTTATGAAGGACTCACTCAGAGTGTTGATAGATTCAACAGACCATTTGATCACAGTTCTACTTTGTCATAGAATAGGCTAATCAGTCCCATATTCACACAAAAATATATCATTTCTTCTCTAATTGTCATAAATAGTGTGAAGAAGAAAAAATCTGGTCTGAAGAATGACAGTAAGAAGATTTTCACTAAAAACTCATTATAGAAAGGAAGAAAAGACAAGACAATTCAAGACCGACCTTTGACGAGCAGAATGATTCAGTGACAAACTCTTCGTATGATTCTAATCAGGCTGAGCACAGTAAGTCATGAGCTGGGCTCTTATTTGACTTGAGTACTATTTAACTATAGAGTCTCAAAGCCATAAAGCTAGAAAGAAAAATAGGAATAGAGGAGAGGATGACACTAACTCCTCGTCCAGGAAAGATCCCTACAGCTCCTATAGACCTAGCAAGCCATCTAGAAGCTCTTATAATAGTGCTCAAGGGACTGAAGATCTTGGGTAAGTTAAGCAATATGAACAGTTTGTAAAAAAACCATGTTATGTTCCCAAATAACATCAGCTTGAACTAGATTTAGTGACCAATATCAAGGCTCTAAGCCACCTCAGATACATACAAAGAAGAGAGACCAGAAAGCATTTAAGAAAGGTCTTGATAGATCAAAGTCTAATGTAAGACTCTCTCTAATCATTTAGGAAATATGTAAATTGTTTTTGACTGGATCTTGCCACAAAGGAGATGATTGAATTTTCTCTCACAATTTGAGAGTCCATCCATGCAAATATATTCATGCAACTGGAACTTGTAGGAATGGAGAGAAGTGTCCTTTTTCCCATCAAAGACTTGAGCATCACGAGATCATCCGATTCATTGAAGAGAACGAGGATTTCCTTGACCAAGTCTATAAGGATTGTGGAGCAACAAATCTTGGTGCCTATTACTGCCAGTACAAGATAGAAAAAGAGAAGAGAAACAAGGACAAGTACAGACCAGAAATTCTAACCAATGCTCAAGACCTTGTTCTTCCTAATGAAATGAGGAGAGATATAGACCTTCAAAATACTAAAGCAATAATACCTCATGGAAGGAGCCTTGAAGGACATATAATAGAGACTCATTCTCATAATACTGGGCAAATGTATGATACTTTTAATGGCGGCAGCTCAATTCTAATGGCAAATCAGAGTAAAGAAATGATGTTAAACATCCCAAGAAATCAGATTGACTTGCAGAACAGAGATGGAAGAATTCAAAATTTGATGACAGCAAGAAATCCACCTCAAGCTCACAGAGAAATACAAAGTCACCATCAAAATATAATCAAAAACCAAAGAGCTAATCAAATTCAAAACCGTATGATAATTCCAATTTCTGGAGAAGTGCCACGCCAAATGGATGCATCAATAATTGGCCAAGGTCAAAGAATGAAGATAGCTGGTGGCCATATCCCCATAATGAGCACTAATAGACAGATTAGACAAGAGATTCCTCTCAGAGGAAGAACTATGAGTAATCCCAGAGATATTCTTGCTCAAGATTGTATCAATAGGGGCATTTACAACTCTCCAATTGTCCCTCAGAGTACTAGGGGAAATCCTCAAAGTCAATATTCCAAGTCTCCCTCTCACTTCAGAGACGAAGACTTACAGCTGCAAAGAGATAGGATGTCTGTAAAAGCTAGGAGCTTCTCCTATAACAGGATGAAGATCCACAACAACCAACATGGGCATCACCAAGTTATTCCAGATGGATTCCCTGCTGAACAAGAGAATGGTGACGAAAAATTCTTCCCAAAGTCAGTCCTTTCCACAATATCTAGATCTCAAGAGAATGCAGAGGCTAAAGATCAGGGAGACGAAGTCAAAGAGCTCGTCAGACTTGGAATCCTTCCAGAAGACTACGAGAAAATATCAGTATCTGATGATTCAGATTAATAGCGATAAGTCATCTTCATCGTGTTTCAACTTCATTCAAGTAAAACGGGGTTTTGGGGTTTTGGGGTTTTGGGGTTTTGGGGTTTTGGGG